GAATCATTTATACTCATTAAGTCATTTCCAAATAACAACTGAAATCCTGTGTGTAATAAGCTGCACTGAAACAACACCAGCAGTACTGTGTGAGGTCATGCCCTCCGCTCACACAAATGGAAAACCAGTAGTTTGGCCACTAGATGTCGCCATTTTTCACTGAAAAAGTGAACCATATTTGCTTCAGAGAGCTTTGTCAGTGCCATCAGTGGTGTAACCTCCGCCTGGGCGGGCTACGCTGCGGAAGGATACTGACTTCAGTGGTGGTGAACTGGTCTCGCAGGAAGTCCAGATCCTCCTCGAGCGTCTCCAGGTTGCGAGACGCCGTGGAGAGGTTCTTCTCTAACAGAGCCTGCGCTTCATCGATGTCGTACTCTAACATGACGTTTGCCTGTGAGGAGAAAACGTCAGGGTGGAAAAAAAGGGAAACGCTGAGCTTCATCTAATTAACACTTCTATGAATAAGGTCCACAAAACAGACATTTTTGATTCATTACTTTTTGGCTTTATCCTTGAAATAAAATCCTCACTGAGAATACTTACCCCTAACCATAGGCAGACTTTTTCAGTGGGTGGCACTGACGCCTTGCAGTAAACATTGTCAGCCAACAGGAAGTGTGTCTCCATTGGCTCTGTGGTTTCCTGAAGGAAAGCAAACCTGGTTAAAGGTGCTTCATTATCAATTTCTCTGCCACACATTTTAACTTTGGCCGACCTTCAAGCATCACCACCGCTTTGAACTCGACAATCTCACAGTTAAATGAAGAAGTCTCTGTGGTTTAGTCAGACAAACATGAAAAGATTTAGTTATTTCTGTGTTATTTACATATTTGAGAAGTGGCCTGACTGATAATGTGATAAAATATTAAGTTATTGGCTCATTATTTAACCAAGTGTAATAAAATATGTGCAGATTGGTCCTTTTAAAAAAAAACAGTATTATTTTTTTAACAAGATACATTTTTATACAATGAATTAAATAATTTCTGAACTGATGAAGTTGTGTTTTAAAGAGCTAAGAGTTTGGCTTTGAAATTTACATAATCAATACCATGTTGGATCATTTGTAAACAGTAGAGCTGATGTGTGATGTAAGGATGTAAAGTGCAGTATGATTGCTTCAATGTTTAGTTTAACAATAATTAAAGTAACTTAACCGTGTAATATTTCCAGCAGCTGCACAACACTGTCACACAGTAAAGCTAAAAATACTTTCTACATGGGACTTTTTGACTTGGATCAAGCGTTTTCACCAGCTGCTTAAAGCTCTGCTTTTCCACAAAGTTACAACATCAGTCCAGCCACTGCTTCCTCTGCCTTTTTCATATGGAGAGCAGTTAGCAACACTTGGTTGAGCCATTTGTTTATATATAGTATCTCCTTCTTTGTAACATGTCTGTACTCAATAGCATGATTTTGCATGAAGTGATGAAACATGTTTGTGGTTTCCACCTTTAGCAGGGACAGTTTTCTTGCGTACTCTGCACAGTATTGTGCTTTGTTTGAGGTTTCCAAAATTTTGTTGTACATATACAATAAAGGGCTATTCTATTTTATTCTATTGTTGAAGTAGATCTTTTAAAAATGTATATATGCTGACACTCAGTTCTCGTTTTCACTAGGGGACTTAAAAGCATTGCGTTGCTATAGCAATGATATCCTAGGATAATATTTTTGTATTGCATAAAAATCTATACTGTTGTTATCATGGACGATATGATGCGCCTCTGTAGATGATGGCATTTCGTCTGTCACGGCTTGAATTGTGTGTTGGTATTAAATGTACAGCCCTTAAATGGATACAGTCACATCTGCAAGACGGGAGTTTCCTCTGCGTCCACACTTAGTTGTCGGGTACCTCAGGGTTCTGTGCTGGGGCCCATTATCTTCTTTCATTTCCACATCGCTATTCATTGCTTTGCAGATAACCTACAGCTATGTAGGTCATCGCCTATACAAACCAGCAGCTACGCTTCTATTCAGGCACTGGTGAACTGTCTCAGAGATATACAATCGTGGTTGGAGAGAAACTTCATTAATCTGAACAAAAGCGAAACAGAAATTATTGTAATTGGACAGTCCAACCTGTTAGATGGGTATGACAGTGCCATTGGTCTCTTAACCTCTAACAGTCACCCTGTAAGGAACCTTGGTGTGATATTTGACATTTCTATTACCTCTCGTCTAGACTGTTGTAACTCTTACATGTTAGCTCTGATCAAACAAGCTGTACAAAATGCAGCAGCTCACTTTGACCGATCACATTACACCTGTACTGGCCGCCTTAAACCGGCTTCCAGTCGATTTCAGTATCCAGTTGTTTTAAGAGTCTCAGTGGATACAGAACTTTTAGCTGCCCATCATTTTTAAAAACCTATTTGTTCTCACTTGCTTTTGGGTCTAGTTGAGCAGAGTACTCTGTCTTTAATCATGCAAATGCAGTCTAATTTACTTGTTTTAGATTTTTTTTGTGTATATTTATTGTTGATTTTGCGACTGTTGTATACAGTGTACATTTTGTATAAATTGTACAGCACTTTGGTCAACTGAGGTTGTTTAAAATGTGCTACAGAAATAACCTTTGACCTGACAGGCATCCCTATAAATGAATTCAAACCATGATTTGTTTGATTCACTTAACATCAAGTCAAATTACAACAGGCTCAGCACATAATTACACTGGTGTCACACAATGATAACATTTTAAAGTTGGTTCACAACAACCGTACGCACCTTCTTCTTCTGCATGTGTCGTAGGATTTCTAGCGTTTGTCTGATTTGAGGGATCTGGTTTTTCAACCTGCAAGCAAAGAGATGTGATTTGGATGTTATTATGAAGCATGTGTGGTGTGTGTCCTTATTCTTCTAAATTCTGCTGATGCTCTCCATTAAATAGCTCACTAAATGTCTTTAATATCTGTCCAAATCTTTGATTATCACTCAGAAATTATGTCCACCAGCTGATGATGTCCCATATTAACACCAAACTCCAATGACCTCTGTCAAACTCTGTATAAGCCAATAACAACAAGGTTAAGTGTTCCTTCACTGGTGTCACCTGAGTTTCTTCTGAGACAGGTTGAGCTCCATGTATTTATATTTCTGGTACTGTTCGTCCAGCCTCCTCAGCACCGCGTCCGCCGTCTCATTGCCGGGTTGCTTCATAAAAGAGTCGACATCCTCCTGAAAATCCAGGCAAGAGAGAAAGAAAGCATTAAGCAAGATTAACTAACAATGAACTAAATAATAACAATAAACCAGAAAGCAAACAGTTGAGCTGGTTTAGGCATCAGATTGGGATGCCTCATGAGAGCGAGGTGATTTGGGCACCAGGACACTGGAGAGATTATGTACTACCTCAGTTCCAAAACAGTTGGGATGAGGGCAACAATAGTGGTACTAGAAAGAAAGTTTTCCAACTAATAAGGTTAACTGGCAACAGGTCAGTGACAAGATTGGGTATAAAAGTAGTATTTTGGAGAGGCAGATTTCCTCAGGGTTAAATACAGGCAGAGGCTCAACAGTCTACAAATTGCAGAATCATTTCAGAATAAATTTTTCGAACGGCATCTTCGTGCCACGTTTTCAGTAAGTTAATGTTAAGAAACTTATGAAGTCAACTCTTCTGTAACAAAAACCATTGTACGTTATGGAATAGCTGGTGATTTGGACGTCAATGAGGACAAATAAAAGGCAACTACAGAAAGAACAACATTATAACTTTAGAAATTACTTTATTACACTGTCAAGATGTTTAATAATTGGGCCCCATGTATCTTAAAGATCTCATAGCACCATGTCTTTCAAATTAAAGGCCTCTTAGACTCTTACTGGTCAGAAACACTTGACAAGGCTTTTATTGTCAAAGATCTGTTGGGACTTGCAACAGCTCAAACTGCTTCCACCATAAAAATCTGAAACAAACACATTATAAAATCACATTTATAATATCTGTGAATCTGATGTTCAGCTTTTGATAGCCGGTTAGAAATGTACATGTGCTCCTTACAGGTGAGTGAGGGATAGAGGGAGCAGAAACGGAGAGATTACACATCCAGGAAGCAAAGCTGGACGTGGTGGCTGACAGGTGGAGATGGAGACTGTACATTGAACTGCACTGTGCTCTGACATGCACATGCATGTAGGTATATGTGTGACTGATACTTTACCAGACAACCACACCTCAACCTGTAAGCGACAGACCAACTCTAGTTTTAATTGTCTGTATTTGCTCAGCAAAGGCCAAAGGACATACATGAGTGAAGATTAGCAGTGAAATAAGTGATGAATTACTGAAAACTAATCACCTAAGGTGCTTCTCAGTAAATGAAGATCAATATTTTCTAGTTTCGGTGGAGCTTTGAACTGCTGACCTCATGAAACAAACACATTGAAGACACGACAGTGGGCCCTGTGATATAATGCCCATCCTAAAGGAGAAAAATAACCTGCAGATCACGTGACGCTTAACTTTCTGCTGTATTTGCAACTGTCAGGAGACAGGACACATGAGAGCAGTAGCTCAGACATGTTCGGACGTATTCACTATACACTTTAAATCTAAATGTGCTCATCTTACTGGCTGATTATGTACGGATGAGGCTAATGTCACCAAAGCAGCCTCCAGTTAGACTGAATGAACTAACCTAAAGCCTAAAGAGGAAAGGAAGCATAGTGACAATAATGCAGTGATGTCCATAGATGGAAACGAGCTGCCGCCCAGCCTGCACACACAGCAGGATTATCTGTTAGCTTAGCTGTTAGCCAGCATGCTGCACCCGCACACCGGAAGCTACAGCTACAAGTGTTTCTTCAGCGGAGTAATAACAAGTCAAACCAGCGACTCAGCGAGAAATGTCCGGGTTTACCCACCACAAAAACCGCTTCTGGGATACCGAGGTGCTTTCTCTTTGTCGCCCCTACGGCATTGCTGTTGTCTATGATCGCTGCCATCTTGGAGAGAGGATACTCCTTCCTTCCTGACGTACGAGCATGCGTACAACCGTCTTAAGCGGGAAAACAAGACTCTGTTGCTTCTAGTGGTCGCAGGCTGCAACTGGAGTAACACAAAAGGCTCACCGACTATTTTTGAATCAAGAACCTTTTATTCTCACACATAATGATACATTATTGATGATTTATAATAGTGTTAGTAACATGGCTACAGCATTCAAGACACATATAAATTCAGCCAACTAAACAAAACATGATTACAGTACTGTGAAAAAAGTGTAGTCATCCCTCATTTCTCTATATATTACTTCCAAGGAAACAGACTTTCTTGTAATTTTTAAAGTGCTCTTGAGCAACAGTTTTCCAGGCTTTCTGAGTTATTCTCTGGAAATTGGCTGCTTTTTCATTTATTTTCAATCTAGCTCTTCAACCAGACCATTTCCAGTGGAATGCTTTTGATTTTTGTTTTTTATTTGATAAGCCACATAACACTGGTATGAATTATTCAAGCAAAAATGCATCTATATATAGAGTTTTTCACGTTTTAATTAAATGATTCTATCTTTCATTTCTCACACAAAATATGAAAAAGAAGGGATGGCCAAAGACTTTTGCGCAGTAATGCACATCTCAGAACACTCATGAAATAAAACCACGGAAAAGGGAAGAGTAGGTTAACTCAAGAGATCATGCAATGTAAATTCATTATGCAATAAAACCAAGAATTAAAAAGAAATGTTTTTTTCACTAACATAGACAAAAATATTTCAAGCTTCAGTTAATATGCAGGTTTGATGTGAAATGCGTCCTGGTAAAACACACGGATAAAATTTATCAGTCACTTCAAAACATCTCAGATAAATTGGTTTGAATTTAACTTTATAAGAGACAAAGAACAATTCATTATGGGCAAGGAAGGTCAAGGAAGATATATTTCCATATTGTTTTTCATGATGCAAACCACAGGGAAATATAACTTCCTTACCTTGAAAATCACTTTTCTTTACCTCAATTCAAAGCAGATGTTAAATTTCATATTTGACTGTAATATTTCTCTGAAGGCACCAACAGAGCTCGTCTTCTTTGGAAAATCATCACAGAAATAAGTCATCAAACGAGAGAGATTATGTACCACAACAGAAAGCAAGCAGTCACA